ACCAGCCCCCCCCCCCCCCCTCCCCTCCCCATGTACTATGCCCCCTCTTTCTTCCTGGCTGATTAACGGGACTGATTCGTTTGGCATGTAGGAGCGGAGAAGGAGACATTCCGCTATGATAAATGATAGCATGATTTAACAGTCACAGGTGTATGCTTAAGTTTTAAAGACCCGGTTTATGTTTTAATCACCGTGATCAGGCATCCTCTCGTTAACTCCTGTTCCCCTTCCAAAGAAGACATCTAATCACGTAATATCTTTGAAAAGTTCAAAAGTCGTAACAACTTGGCGAAGACGGAATTCGAGAGAAGGAAGATAGTACCCTTGTTTTCATATATTTGGCAGACATTTAGTTTACCTGTATGTCTCACGCGACAATTAATAAGATGAAAGGGCAAAGGATATTTTGTACCGGAAAGCCTCCATTCATTTATTTAATAGATTGATAACTTCGTCTTTTTTCTCCATTTATTTGATAGATTGCCAGCTCTACGCAGGAAATAAATAGAAAAAAGTTTCACAAGTAAAAGAGTAATAAAAAAGAGACTTATGAAGAGGCTGCAGTTATTTGGGATTAAGGTTAAATAAGACATTACATCACCTGAAATGTGGCTGTTTTGAGTTGCTTGTGCTAAAAGACATAAAATAATTGTTATCAAAAAACTTTACCAATTTTGATGTAAAAAACCTGTCGAGGATATTCTTGTCATGGCAATTTTATTGAAGTAAACGCTCCTGTCCTAGGTTAAAACACTAACCACACTTTTTTCTTATAATGTGTGTCTTACCTAAGTGCCACTGCTGTGTCAGAATGATAAACTACCTGCGCGCCGTCTGTCGTCCTAAATAGGTCTTTTGCATGGGCGCAGTTTTTTCACCTTTTCTCAGATTCATATTTGGTTAACCTTAAAGACATCTTACCAGCGGGAAAGAAAAGGGAGGGTGTCTTAGACTGGGTTCCCATAAACCCATCGTACTAGCTGGATCGATGTATATCTGCGGGGATTCTAGACAAAGTACTAGTACAGTCAATGTAGAGGAGACCGGGGCTAGTCGGACCCCGGGGTAAGTTGGCCCCCGGGGTAAGTTGGCCCCCCATCAATTTATGACAAAGTAACTATGGGGTAAAAGAATTGATCACATCATTTTGTAAAGTGACCGTATCCAATAGTGCGAAGGAAACGTCGGCTGTGAGTCCAAATGAAATAATTTAGCATCTTAAAGTAACTTTATTAAAGAGACTTGATGGGGGGGGGGGGGGCAACTTACCCCGGGGTCCAACTAGCCCCGGTCTCCCCTAACCATCTTTTAAGATTGTCTGGCACGCCTCCTCGAGAAGCTAGGGGTTAATAAACTTCCTGGATTAGGAAAGAGGTGGTCTCTGTGTTTTCCCGCACGAATGTTAATTACCCCCTTAGCTTCTCGAGGTGACGTGCCAGACAATTCAGCTAATTACATTAACTGCACCTAAGCGATAATCCCCACAGAGATAGATCGATCCTGCTGGTACGATAACTTTATGAACGCTCTCTTACATTATTTATAGATTAAAACATTTGATGAAACAGGGACCACCAGTGTGGGTGGTCTGAAAAAAGGTTTAAAAGGGTAACTGTTATTTCTTCAGTAGTCTGTTTTGATATTAAAACATGTTGTTTGACATCATATCGTATTAATGTTTTAAAAAAGAGAAAATAATCCCACACTTCAGAACTTCTATCAGCACAAAATAACTTTCTTTTTAGTTCAGTGGAATGTCACCTACTGAATACCTAAACGTAATGTTACATGTTGCACACAATGGTTCTGACAGAACAGCTTTAGTTCAGTGAGCTAAAAAACATCAAATCTCGATAAGTCTCGATAAGTCAGCGATAATACTCATACAAATGTAATGCGTTTGTCTCGCGCACACATTACACCCCAGTCCCCTTTCCCATTATAGCGGATATCCTG